CTGGCACAACTGAAAAAAAAAAATAAAAAATAAAAATGGATTTCAAAACTGTTGCGGGATAACAAGTGTTTTTTTCAAAAACAGATAAAGTTGGCCAGGGAGAAGGGGATCCCCACAACTTACTACTGAACTTTGGAAGATAGGACAGTATGAAAGAAAGCCTGTGAGATTGGAATATTTATACTAGAGATCACAGTTGCTTTTAAGGAAAATTGTACTGTAAGTAGTTTTTTCTTTTTCTTTTCTTTTTTTTTTTTTTAAGGACAATCACATTAGGAAACCTTAAGTTGGAAGTTAAGTTGATGAGTTATTTTCTTCTGATTGTAATTCATGCAAACACTGTTCACACTAACCTTTAATGGGTAAGCATTTTAATTTTTATGAATTAAAAAAATTATTTAAATTCCAGCCACCACACTTGCATGTACTTTTCAAACAGATCTACTTTTTTGTATAAAGTAAAAAATGCGTACTGTGGTGTTGCTGATATTTTATCTTTAACACGACTTGCATGTGAAAAATGAGACATAGCTGTTAACAGCCATGGTCTTCTTTTAGTATGTTGGGCCAGTACCATCAGGTTTTTATTCCCCTATTCAGTTCCTCTCTCATTTCATCAATTAACAGAAACTGAATTCCTATTGTAAGCTGCTAAAGATTAAAAATTAAAAAACTATTAAGGTTTCAGTTTCCAACAAGATCTGTTTTAAAAATTTATTCTTTCACATAATAGTTTTGAGTTTGGCACCACTGTAAACACAAGGAGTTAAGTCTCACGTGCAATTCTTGTTATTTTATGCGTTATCCGAAGTAATTCACACAGGACACAGAAATGTAATCTGTATTTTTAAACAGCCTAAAAAGTCACGACATTTATGTTATGTATAATGAATATAAAGGAAGTAATTGTAACTTCTCACTTCTTATTCAGGGATGGTTGTTCTCAGATGTAAGAAATGCGATTGTAATGAAGTGCAAGCCACTTATCAAATGAATTTTAGCCAACAGTAAAAGCTTTGAAGAATTTGGTCAAAAGCATTACATTTGTAGTTGGAATTCCCCTGGCATCTCCTTCTCTTGTACTTTTGGCATCTAAGAAATGTTTTCAACAAAATAGAACTGTCCCTAAGTGAACATCTACCTATGTTTTAATTCCCAATGTCAATCAGCAGTCTGTTGTCAAGGGATATTCTGAATTACAAACTTTTCAAGTGCTACATAAAGCAGATGAGTTCTATTTATTTAAGAATGTCTTGCAAGTGATAACTGGCTCTGTAATGTCATGTGAAGTCTCCAAAGTGTTTATCTGTGGCTTTTTTTTTTTTGAAATGTTACAATTTTTTATTTTTTTGCTTTATAAACATTTTTAATTTCATAATGTTTGAGTGCCAAGAAATGAACTTGTCAACCTCAATGCAAATCTTGAAAAATCCATGCTGTAACAGCCCTGTTATTAAATAAACAGATACTACACAAAATGAACGATCCCAGAAATAAAGTTTTGAACTTTTAGTCCAGGTGGCAGGACAAGTTTGGAGGATAGCTAAGAATACTTGTACAGCCTTAAGTTTGCAGTTGGCCTCCTGCAATTCATCATTTTTATTTCTTGTAACAGTTGCTGCAGTTATGTAAAGTAATAACGTTGATAGGCATCTGGTGGCCATTAATTGTTTTCAAACAATGGATTGTCTGAAACAAAACCAAGTGCTATTGTTGCTGCCACCGTCAGAAGAAATACTGGGCAAATTGGTAAGAAGTCTCACTAGATTAGATTATGCATCTCTTACAGTCAACCTTACTTAATTTAAACCTGAAATATTTCTGTCATCAGTGATCAGCTTTCAGTTTAGTTAAGAAAAAAAAAACCAACAACTTTCTATCTTGTGAAACAATCACAGAGAGAACAACTTCTGTAGCCAAGTTTAGACTAGTAAATGTTTGACATTAATACCTGACCTGTGTGTGGTAGTACTGTAAATAAAACACAGTATCTGTGTGAAAACTCAATAAATTTTGTGAGTCTTTTAGTAGTCAGTTTTGAATTTCATTTGGTGGGTAAAGGGAGTGTCTGTCTGCTTCAAACTGTATTCTGAAGTAAAATGTAACAGAACTGAAGTGAAACTCATTTTTAACCTTTGTGGTACGGAGGACTACATATGAGAGATGCTAAATTGGACATACTGCAAACTCAGGTCCCTGCTTTATGGAACTGCAGAAGGGGAAAAAACTTACCAGTCTGCTGTTTCTGTTTCAAAATTGCATAATTGTGACTCTTTTTTTTTCCCCTTCAGTTAAATCCTTCAGTTATGCAAGCAGACTACTAGCCAGTGTTTTCTGCAGATACCAAAGTTCTCAAATGCATGTTTTTTTTCACTTGTTGCCAGTCAAACTCTGCATTTGGAGGTGAGAGTTAGATGATTAATTTTTTGAAGTTATAAAAGAGTAGACCAACTGTGTATTGTTTTATGTCCAAATAGCTACATCTTTTTTAAACTGCTGGAGGTGTTTTTATGTTCAGATAGCTCCTTTTTTATTTGTTGCACGCCCTCTCACCTCCTACCTTGTTAACACCTTTATAAATGTAAGTAAGTGCTACTTGAAAGCAGCCACCATTTACTGCCGGCTGCCACAATATTCGAGTCCTTTGGTTTGTGTTGTCTCCTGCTGCTGAGCAAATGTGTTGATTTTTTTTTTCTTTTCACATTGTTGTTTAAATCTCTGACCCCAAAATACTGCTTTTCTTCCTAGACTTGCAAATTGCACATTTGCACATGCAGTAAATACTTCAATAGTCTATTTCCACTTGTTCACCTCTGAACGAGCTCTGTCTCTGAATGATCACCTGAACATACCTGACTTGGGTATATTTTGGTATCTGAGGAATAAGAACAGCCCAAGAAAGAATACTGGGTTTTTAAGTTGTCTCTGATTTTTGGCCTAACTGTTGTACCACTCAGGTGCAAGAGCCTGTACAGGCTGTGCATGAAATGTAGTGGTTGCATCCAGCCGCCTCTTAGAAAGAATCAGGGAAGGGTTTGGATTGCTAGGAGCTGCTTAGGAAGAAGCACAGAATAAAGCTCTTGGAGTTGATGGATCTCGTTATAAATCTTGTATACACAGAATTTAACTTTTGCAATTTTGTATTTGTAAAACCAAATAAAATCCTTTTCATACTTGATGAAAGTGGGTGCTAATGCTTTAAAAATTAAATTGAAATTTGAGGATATATGAGGATCTGTGGATACAAAGGGGAAAAAGGCAGGAAGAGATGACTTAATCTACTCCTAGGAGTTCTATCTATCTGTAAGCAGAAAGTAGCTGTTAACTCTGATTTGTGTTTATTTGGAGGTTAATATGGGTGTGCACTGGTGTATTTTGTTCTCGGGTGCATGTTTTTGTATTGCTGCAATGCTTCTGCCACGTAAGGAACAAGGTAAATGCAAAAACACAAAGTAGATCATCTTCTAGGAAAGCAAATTTTTAGAACTGTTTGTTTAGCTTCTCTCTCTGCTCTTCTATAATTTTCCCATCAGAACTGTTTGGTTTTTTTCTTTGTATGTTTAGAATAGTTCTGATCATTATTGCAGCATAAGGCAAAATTGCAAGAAACACAAACTGGTCTTGAGAACTGACAGCAGATGTAGGTTTTTTTTTTCCTTTTCAAGGTAGGAATAACTTAAGTACTTTTTTGTCTTCATACAGCCATAGAATATACACAATATCATTATATACTCTTGTATATTACAGATAGTAAAATAATATATAGGATGTGGATATCTCATTAAGCAAGTGAGTGGGATCTCAGACTGAAAATAACACTATTAACTCCACATAGTGAAGCACCACCACGTTACAGCTTAATCTGAAAGACTGGTGTATAAGCAATGTTACCATAACTTGTTATTACTGAAATCTTGGTTGACAATGCAGATAAAACCACCACTGAGTTGATTAAGTACAAACAAAAAACACCACTCCCCTCCTCTGCTTTCCTGAAAGATAGAGAATATAGGGGTCCTTGAGAAGCATTAGAATTTTCTGTAGTTTGTTCCCAATTCTTACGTATTAGATGGTTTTGAAGGAGAAACATAAGAGATGATGATTAAATACCACTATCTAGACAGCTGACTTTAGGGTCTCTCTCCTTGCAGCTGCTATGACTGTGAAACTGTAAGATGATACAGTTTCACAGACTAAGAAAGCATTTCCCTCCAGCAAGGATTAACCTAATCCTTGCAAACTACACTGCAGTCAATGCCCAAAGCAATCACTTTATAAATCCAAGAGGGTTTCACACTTGTTTACACCAGGGAAGGAAGGAAGGGTCCCTTCAGAAACAAACCACCACCAACAACAAACAGCATAAGAGCTTGAGCCAGTCTGCTAAGTTACTGTAATTAACAGTCAGTTATCCAGTTCTATGTTATTTTAGTATCAACTTTGACTGCTACTATTTTTGGTAATCATGTGTAGCTTTGTGTTGTTTAGGTGACAGGACCATGAATAATGTGGGACCAATGTTCCATAAGCAACACCAACACAGGAAGGGAAACAGGAAGGGAAAACTTTGAAGATGGCAAAGCTCTGTACAGATTTTAGGTGTGTAAGAAGTAGCAGTGTCTAGCAGTGAAGGTATTTTTTTTTTTTTTCAGAACAATGAATAAAACACCATTGCCTTTAAATGTAATGTTGTTCTATCTACTCCCTGAAGTACATCCTCACCTTCGTTCTGGCCTTACAAGGGAATTGGGAAGCTGTGATCCCAAATGTTAGTAAGGCCATGAGCACTAGGATGATTTTGTGTTCTGAAATGAAAAAGTGCTGCTTTTGCATGTTGCCCTATCTGAAGGGTTGGATTTTAATTGCAAAAACACTTATCTATCTCCCCTCCCATTTCAAGAAGTGAACCTGTTCTGTATTACCACATTAAAGCTGCAAAGCTCATATGCAATATGCTCCCATACATAACCAATAACAAACTTACATATCTGGTTCAGTGATTCACTTCCAGAGCTAAAACATGAAATCTTACATGTTTATAATCTCAGCTGCCTTTATTTGAACCCTTTTGATGTATTATGAAAACTGAAACTATGCTATTGGGCAGTTTGTGAGCTGCATAGTAATGCACAGTATAGAAACGTCTTCAATTACGTCCTTCAAGCAACAGAGTTGAAGTGGTATCTACCTCATTTTAGGAAGATATTCTTCTTGTCACAACTGCAGCCATTTTATAATGTAGTAGTTTTTCTTTCCAATTCTAAGCAATGATACTCCATTCTTGAGAATATGCTGTCCAAGAATAAGAACAGTCTCCGGATTGGTTACACGAATCCCATTTACTGAAACTCCACCATCTGTAATTTTCTGGTACCTTAAAAAAAAAAACCAACAACAAAAACAATGAGTAATTGCAAGAGGAATATATCTATTCCTGGTAAGTACAGAAAGATCAGTTAAGTTTCAGATGTTTCTTTGGTTTAATTCATAATGGAATAAATTTTAAGTCTTGTGCACATCCACTCCTCCTGAGAGGGATAAGGGAACATAATCTGTTGATGTTTCTTTCTCAGCTGTATATTTTAAAGATATGGTACATGACACTGCATTATCCTACACTTTCTCTTCAAAATGCAATGAGGCCTCCTGTCTCAGCCTGGTCTAGTGGTTGGTGACCCTGCACATAGCAGGAGGGTTGAAACTAGATGATCATTATAGTCCTTTTCAACCCAAACCATTCTATGATTCTGTGGTATGCAGGTAACTTACACATTACTATCTGTTTTGGTTATTCTGACCTCTTATTCAAGTGAGCACACAACTTCCACCCATTTAAGTGAGGTACTATTGAAGAGTAGGGCTGATAACATACCCACTATGTCCATGTGGAATGGCATTTGCTTTGCGACACAGGTCAAGCAGAGTCATTCCAGGTTCAAGTATCAATTCAGCAGAAGGAGCCTGTCTGAAAAGTTCCTGTAACTCCTGGTCAGACATAGCTTCCAGTGCCTCCACACTGCTGTGATAAAGGGCTTTGGTGCACCTGTGAGAACAAAAATATTCAGAATCAGTTCTAGTCTCATCTTTGGACAAAGCACAGTTCAACTGAACAGATTCCCTTCCCCAGTTTCTTCTAATGCTCCACACAGCGACAGAAGAATTTAGGAGCTACCCTCCCAACTCTGAATTTGTGTTTTTTTTTTTTGGACTCTGCTCTCTTGCAATTTTAATATAGCTTATGTATCTCTTAAGTCTAGAGCATTGCTATATATTTCTCTTAATAGCAAAGCCTCAGCTAACTCCATTAAAACAGTCCCTGAAAAGCTATACATAACTAAACTACCATTGGATATATCCGAAATAGAACTGCTCAACAAAATGAACCTCACCTCTTAGCAGATTCCAGCCCCTCTCTGCCATGAACAAGTTTCGTTACTTCTGCAGCAAGTCGCTTTTGAGGGCCCCATTTTTCAGGCTCTCTGGCATGCATTTCCATGATGTGGTCAATCTCCTCAAGAGGAAGAAAGGTGAAGAGTTTCAGGTATCTATGAGCAGGGAAAAAAAAATTTCTTTTGTCCATAAAACCATCATTGCAGATTTCCTGTCCTTGTCTTTCAAACTTCATTAACTGCACTAAGATGATTCTTATTTCTTCAAGAAATCCACGTTATAGCTATTTTTTCAAACAACTCTTTGTTTTTGCCCACATACATTAAATTTAAAATGGTAACTCATGTTTTATTTACTATTTTATTAAGGGTAATGCGTACAGAAATAGAACAGTGCCAAAAGCTTTTATGAAGCTTGTACTGCAGTCAGGAATTTACTTTTACAATGAAATGTACTTTACAGAATGTACTGCAATTGTGTGTCTACTTAGGAGGTTCTAACTTATATCCTTAGTAGTTACACAATTTATCAATGCAAAGCAATGCAGCCATGCTGATCACCACACAGAATTATGCTGTTTGTTGATGACTGAGTATCTTGAAGATTATTTAGGACAATCAACAATTTAAACGTGCATATCAGAAGTATACTCTTTAAAACAAGGATTATTTAAATGGGCATGCAGTTGTATAGAATTCAGTGTATTAACGAAGGTACTTCGATGATTACAAAATCTGAAAGCATTAAACATTTTGATGTTAAATATTCACACAGCCTTTTTTCAGTCTGAGAAGTGCTGTGGGTGCAAAACCTCCATATAAGAATTAAGCCAAGTTATGACAGATGTTTGTACTGCAGGTACAGTATTAAACCTTAGCATGGGGTGCTGATTACTACTTGCTTTGAGAAGGCTCAAGCAATTAGCAATTTGACCAGATATGTAAACTTTGTTGGTTCTGTTTCGCTCCTCTGCCTTTGTTTTTACTTTCAACAATGACTTAAAACTGAAATTCTAAAAACCTCTGCCTTGTAGATAAACTTATATTGTCTACCATGGACTTAAAACAGCGTTGTTTTCTCTCCTTTTTAATTGTGCTACTGCTGCAGTGTAACTGTCTACTACATGTGTCCTTATGTAGGCCAGTGGTGTCCCAAGTGGAGTGCAATCAGCCCAAAGACTATGCAAGATGATCCACTACGTAGATATAAATACGTGTGCATGCACTCGAGTATACCCGCTTGCAGTAGTTACAGAGAACCACCAAGATGTGGTTTCATAAACAAAGCCAAGAAGACAGATGAAGAAAAACTACTTACTTCTCAACTATGTCATCCTGTTGTCTAACAAAAAACTGATACAGCTCAAACGGAGAAGTCTTATCTCTGTTTAGCCAAACTGCGTTGCCAGCAGTCTTTCCCAGTTTATCTCCAGTAGTACTGGTAATAAGAGGCACAGTAATTCCAAACACATCTGTTCCTGTCATCCTGTGAGGATTAGAGAAGATGAAAAATCACATTTTGGTCATCATTAAGAAAACCCACACATCCTGTAAGATACTATCCCTTAGCAGTTATGCAGCTGTTAGCAAAGTAATTCAAAAGTGTTTTATGAAAAGTGCTTTAGGAAAAAAAAGAGGACTTAATTGTTTTAAGTTCTTTGTGCAATGAAGTTTAAGTAAAATAGCTTTGTGAGCAGCAGCACTAGCAAGTTAACCTGACCTGTACTTCTGTCTTCTGCTCTGAATAGTAACTGAGGCTGCCTGTGGATTAGGATACCTATAGTGTTTTTTTTTTTCTGTTCTGAGCATCTTGTCAAGCACACACACAAGGCCAAACTTTGCCACCTACAACCAGCAGTGCCTCTGCAAGACTGGCACCTAACTTGGCGATAAGCAAAGGTTCAGCAGCACCTTTCACTGTGTTTCTGGGGGAAGCACTACAACCATCTCTAGGCACATAACCCACCTTCACTTTTGGTGCGATTACACCTTGAAAGTATTTGGGAGCAGCAGATCTGTCTGCATGCTGTCATTCAGGATGTTTGAATCATGGAGACATTAAGGTTGGAAAAGACATCTAAGATTATCTAGGTCAACACCAACCCATCCCCACCCTGCCCACTGCCCACGTCCCTCAGTGCCACATCCACATGGTTACTGAACACCTCCACGGATGGTGACTCCACCACCTCCCTGCGCTAGCCCGTGCCACTGCAGCACCACTCCTTCTGAGAAGAAATGTTTCCTAATATCCAACCTGAACCTCCTCTGGCACAACATGAGGCCATTCCCATCCTATCACTGTTACCTGGGAGAAGAGGCCGACTCCCACCACACCACAACCTCCTTTCAGGCAGTCGTAGAGAGCGATGAGGTCTCCCCTAAGCTCCTCTTCTCCAGACTGAACAACCTCAGTTCCCTCAGCTGCTCCCCACAAGCCCTGAGCTCCCCTTACAGCTTCACTGCCCTTCTGTGCACACGCTCCAGGGCATCAGTGTCAATCTCGCATTGAAGGACCCAGAACCGAACACAGCACTCGAGATGCGGTCCCACCAGTGCCGAGTACAGAGGGACGATCACTCCCCGCTCCCGCTGGCTGCGCTATTTCTGATCCAAGCCGGGATGCCGCCGCCCACCCGGACGACCCGCAGGTCCCCGAGCACGGCCACCCTCCATCGCAGCCCCGCGCCCCGTCCCCACCTACTTGGTGACGAGCTCGTATCCGGACATGATGTTGCCCATCTGGTCGGCGCCGCCCAGCTGCACGCGGCAGCCGTGGTGCCGGTGGAGGTGCAAGAAGTCGTACGCCTGCAGGGCGGGGTACAGGAACTCGGCCAGGCTCATGCCCTCGGCGCTGCGCAGCCGGGCTTGGCAGGCCTGCCGGCTCAGCAACGTGCCCATGCGGAGGCGGCCGCCGGCGCCGCACAGGAAGTCGAGCAGCGGTTCGCGGCCCAGCCACCACGCGTTGTCCAGCAGCTCTGCCCGGCCCAGGGGCCGCCCTCCGCCCGCCGCCCAGAACAGCGCGCGGTGGTTCTCCAGCAGCCGCCCCAGCCCCTCGCGCAGCCCCCGCGCGTGGGCCCGCACCCTCTCGGCCTCCAGCGGCTCCCGCGGGCGTTCGCGGCCGCTGGGGTCGCCCAGCCGCGCCGTCGCGCCGCCCACCACGGCCAAGACGGTGTGTCCGGCGCGCTGGAAGTGCAGCAGCGCCATGACGGCCGGCAGGTGCCCGACGTGCAGCGAGTCCGCCGTCGGGTCGAAACCGCAGTAAACGGCGACGGGCGGGCGGCCCGGCTCCAGCAGCGCTTCCAGCTGCTCGTCCGCGCCCTGCGCCGGGAACACGTCCTGGAAGAGGCCGCGCTCGGACTGCGCCGCCAGCAGACCCTTGGCGCCGCGGGCCCGCTGCGGCCGTTCGTGGACGTGCCGCGTTCCGGGCGGCCGGGCCCGCCGCAGGGCGCCAAACAAACCCGCCGCGCGGCAACAGCGCCGCGACAGCCTGGGCGCCGCCATCTTGTGCGGGGCACGCTGCGGGGCGGAGCCGGGGGCGGAGCCGCCGTGGGGAGGCGCCGCGTTACCGCCCGGCCCAGCCGTGCGGAGAGGCTGTGGTGAATCACGGAACGGCCAGGGTTGGAAGGGATCTCAAGGGTCATGAATCTCCGAACCCCTGCCACATGCGGGTCACCAACCTCCGCATTTATTACTAGACCAGGCTGCCCAGCAGCCCGCGTGGAAGCGTTGTGTCTCCCACGATAGCGAGGAAAATGAGCATAGAAATAACGATGCCTTGGTTCTTCCTTCATCTTTCCCCCAACCTGTCATCCCCAACTGCTAGGATTTCAGATGTTTTCAGTCTAAAGAACTTGCCTTGTAAATCGGGTCTTCAGTTTTGAGTAATTCATTCAGCGGGACTTACAGCAGGTGGCTGAAATTAGTAGGATTGCGGCATTAGAACTTTAAAATTCACAGTAGAATTTGTGAAGCTTCTAAATCAGAGCCTGCTGCAAACATCATTTTGGTCTAAGCTTAGGAAGTGTGGGATAGATGGGCGGATGGTGAGGTGCATTGACTGGCAGAGCTGAGAGATTTGGCATCAGTGGTGCAGTTTGGTTGGAAGCCTGTAACTAGCGGTGTGCCCCAGGCGTTGGTACTGGGTCCGGTCTTGTTCAATATCTCTTCATCAGTGACCTCAATGAAGGGATGGAGTCCATCCTCAGCAAGTTTGCTAATGATACAAACCTGGGAAGAGTGGCTGACATAGCAAAATGCTGTGCTGTTGTTCAGCAAGCCTCAGACAGAATGGAGAACCTTATGAGGTTCAACAAGAGCAGCCGTAGAGTCCTGTGTCTGAGGAGCAATAACTGCATGCATCATTGCAGATTAGGGCTGATCTGCTGGAAAGAGCCCTGCGCAGGAGGACCTGTGTGTCCTAGTGGACAACAGGTTGGCCATGAGCCCGCAATGTGGCCTTGTGGCCCAGAAGGCCAATGGTATTTTGGGGTGCATTAAAAAGAGCATGGCCAGCAGGTCAAGGGAGGTGATCCCTCTACTCTGCCCTGGTGAGGTCACATCTGCCATACTGTGCCCAGTTCTGGACTCCTCCGTTAAAAAAAGACAGTGATAATCTAGAGAGAGCCCAGTGGAGGGCCACAAAGATGATTCAGGGCCCAGAGCATCTCCCTTATGAGGATATGCTGACAGCCCTGGGACTGTTCAGCCTGGAGAAGAGATGGCTGAGGGAGGGATCTCATCAATGTTTATAAATATCTAATGGATGGAAGTCAAGTGGATGGGGCCAGGCTCTTTTCAGTGGTATGTGGTGATAAGATCAAGAGGCAGTGGGCAAAAACAGAAACACGGGAAGTTCTATGTGAACACGAGGAAATACTTCTTTACTTTGAGGGTGACAACACTGGAACAGGCTGCCCAGAGAGACTGTGGAGTCTCTGGAGATATTCAAGACCCACCTGGGCACTTTGCTGCATAACCTACTGTAGGGAACCTGCTTTAGTGTGGGTAAGACTTGATGATTTCCAGAAGTCCCTTCCAACCGCAATGATTCTGTGATTCTGTGGTGATTTAATAGGAAATTGGATTCAGCATCTTTGAACGTATTCTACTTGCCTGTTAACTTCCTTCTTATTTCCCACTGCATTCTTGAAATAAATCTCTTGTTGGTATAGCAGCACAAAGAGAGCAGCTTGCACAAATCACGTGGCACTTAAAGGAACTTCAACACCAACAAAAACAAGTCTCTGTCAGTATGTTTGTCTGAATTTTACTGATGCTAATTTTATGATATTAGCTACTTTTTTCCCAAAGACTATTTGATTAACTTCTACTTATATTGTTTCTTTCCTCAGGTCCTTTGGTTCTTCTGAAGAAAGAAGAGGTGTGCATCTTAGCTCTATACACATGGAAAATTCGAAAAGTGAAAACAAAAATCTGTGAGTTACCAAAGTTAATAAGCAAAACACTTGTCCTCCACCCTCTGATCCTCTGTTTCCCTTCTTTCCATGAAAGGTTGTGCTGTGTTGTTCCCAACCCCTTCATGGAGGTGACAAGTAGTGCAGGAGGTTGGTGCCATGTGCCTAATGGTTTGTCTGTTGCTCTTCCATGATGCTTCTAGTTTCCCTCTGCTCTTCTGTGCTTCCTACTGGCCCTGTCCTGGCATGGGTTGTCTGTGGGCTGCGGTCCCTCAAGGGTGATCCTTTCCCAGCATGGGTCCATTGTGGTCACAGTCACACAATTGGGATTTTAAAAAATTGTATACATAGATTCTAATATCTCCTGTTATAAATAAAAGCTTTTTGAGGTTTGGAAGCTCCATAAATATCCGCTTCCTGCTGTGAGTATCCTTTGAATAGTGTTGGTGGTTGTTTGAAGCTGCACCTTGTTACTTTTTTTTCCTGTTTTGCTAGTCTGTAGTAGACCAACTGTCAGGGAATTAATCTCTCTATTTCTTCAGCACTTAACAAGCTTAGGGGCTTTCCAGAAATCTACCTCTTACCCCTTCCTGGACTTCAGTCAAAATATTTGAATTGTTGATGTAGAATACAGCAACTGCTGCAGGCACATCTGAACTATGACTGAAAATCCACAGGATTCTGTGTTTTTCTAGATTGATGCCTACTAATTCCAACAAATGCCATCCTTTTTCTGTGGGATCCTTTGGCTGATGATATCTGCTCCCAGAAGTGATGTTACTTTAGGTATATATAATCTTGATGGACTCACCTTCAATGAATGGTTATATACACCCATTTGTATATGTGTTGCTTATTTGTGTATGTGTATGCAATGTCTCAAAACTGGAATTGTCATCTGTGAAATCAGCAAGCCAAAAAGGATTATTGCAGTGGACTGCTCAACAAAGGAACTTCATGCTGTGCCAAAAGTGCTATTGTGTTATTAGTGTCATTTTACAAGTTAAAAATACTAGTGAAACATTGGAGAGTGAGACTAGTGAGAGGGAAAGTCCAGCTTGATTAAGTTTATTTCATGTCATTTTACATTTATTAGTGGAAAAAAATGGCCACTCATGGATTTCACACTTAATATCAAACCCACATATATTTTTTTCTTTATTCAGCACAAGTGTCCTAAGTAAATTACTGGCTAAATTTTGAAATTAATATGGAAAAAAAGCCCACTAATAACTATCTGATGAAACCTGTTAAAGCCATCTTCACAGAAAGCTATGTTGTTGCAGTGATATTTCTTCCAACAATATGCAGTCAAAGAAAAATGCAGATACTTAATTCAAATAGAAAATAGTCTTCTGATTGTGATGGAAGATTAAATCCAAATTTCATCTATATTTGTTGGAAAAGTTATTGAGGATACTTTAGAGTATTTTAACTTGAAACATAAGAAAGGTATCTCAAAATACAAAGAAAATCTTACTACAGCAATGCATTGTTTTAAATCTCTGGCAAGTTGCAAAGATGAAAAAGGAATAATGTTAGAAAAGAAGAAGGAATAATAATCCTAAATACACCCATGTGTTACAGCTCTGCAATTTGTTAGCATCCAGAAATGGTAAGTAATTAATATTGTAAATTTAGCTCAATAATTTACACAATGTAGAAAAATCCTACACAAATGTTATTGTATTCCTGGAGATGTGATATACTGAAGAAAACTGGTTGCATTGCATTCTGTCAACTGATTTATGAAAGTTTGCAGATGTAGCCAATTTTACTATCGCAGTGGTATTTCCTATCTTATAAAATTAATTTATGTTGCCTTATTGTTGCAGGTGAAACCTCTGCCTGCAGAGCAGAACCTGCTCATGTGGAAAGAACTTCATCTCTTTCCACCCACAAAGTTAATATGTGGGCCAACAGGATCTAAGGAAATAGTTACTAAAAAAGTAAGTACTTCTCTAGTTCTAGTTTTCTATTCCCCCAAGAGACCATTTTTTGGAGTATTGTTACTTTCTGTGGGAGTAGAGATGGGAGGAAATATCTTGGGGTATACATGTTGTTCAGTGTGCCTGTACCTTGAGGAAGGTCCTGTCAGATGCAGAAGATGATTTTTAAACTCTTGAGCTGCAACAGTGGAAAGCTTGGTAAACTCAGCAGTGGGGAATGTCAGTGATTTTGGTACTTCCACAAAAGACCACTAGATAGTTCAATCAGAATGGACTACAGGAGGCAGAATGCTACAAAGACTGGAATAAATATATTGATTAGCCTGACACCTGCTGAGCCTTTTTGTTTGCAGCTACTTGTTTTGATATTTTCTGGGGGACAATTAAAAACAGCTCAGTCCCAACAGGTAATGTTTGCATTTCCTTGGTCCATGGCTAAAAACAGCAGACCTTTTGACCAGCAGGTTTGTTGTACTATCACTGTGTTGTATGAATTTGTAACTGTGATTTTTTGACTGTTTCTTCTAGACAACAGTAATGGAGTGGGGACTGTGATTTACAAGAAAGACAACTTTGTATGTAAAAGTTCACGTGGCCTAAAAACTACTCGTGGTTTTTAACCATGAAGAGATACTGCTCAGGATCATAACTTGCACTTTTGGATTCACTCCCTATAAAATAGTGTAGTCATGATCTAGTGTCACACTAAAGTAGTACTTGAAAGATTGTTATGGAATAAGTTATCAAGTACAAAAATATTTTCAAAAGACCATTTATATCTGTGAGAAGTACATTTTAAATTTACTAGGCTTGTGTTTATACGTATAAATAAGCAAGATAGTTTTCATTATATTGATAGTTCGTCATGTTTACTATCTTCAGAAACAAGCTAGTAAAGTTACAGTAATATTGAACAATTTTCTGGAAAAAGGAAAAGAAGTTTGTATTCCTGACCCCACATTTGCTAAAACTATAAGTAACAAGCCAGTGTTCTTACATGATATTATTACTATGACTGTATTAAAATTCCAAGCTGTTTATTTTGCATCTTTCCAGAATGAACTGAGGATAGTGACTCAACTAAGAAAACGTAGTGGTGTAGTGAATATTTTTTTATCCCTTTTCAATGACTCTGTGTTTATCAGCCTCTTTGTGTGTGATTCATTTTTAATAATCAAGTTTTTCTATGATCATTGTTTATAAGCGTTATTTTTCATAT